GCATCAGGAAAGTGTGTTCTTCTCTGAACAAGTGAATGTTAATTCTTGCCGTGTGCAGAATCACCTTTCTTAGCACTGTGTCAAGAGCCCTTGTATTTTCTGACTTAGCACCAGGCACTTCCAAGACTTTCGTGCCATTTGTCCATGCTCTTGACAAACCTGAAATCTCGGTGTCCAGATCCGCCTCGTCGCCTGTGTGTGACTCATGGTGATCACGGGAGGTGTGGTACTGCCGTGAGCCTGGGGAAGGGCCATGGTGTCATCTGTATTCTCCTTCTTCCACCGCTGTCTTGAAAGGGTTCCCCTAAATCTAGTTCAGACTTTATCCTAAGCACTGGAAAATAACACTAGAAAAAACGCAGTGAAAATAACACTAGAAAAAACTGCCGCCTGACAAGCCAGTAATTAAAAATGACTTTGGGGAAAACCACACTTCCCTGCTGTCTGCCGAACACACTTGGGCAAAAGGCCAATCTAGCATTGATTCGTGGTAAAGCCACGCCACAGTCAGCCCTGTCAAGTTTTACTCAATCTGGTGCAGGATTGAAGGAAGAGCGAAGCCAAGCTCTTTTTCCCTCAGTGCCAACTTGTTATGATAGGTTCTGCTTTCAGAGCTCTCTGTAAAGCCCATGGTAAGTAAAAGATGCCCCTTAGCATCTCAGTGTGTTTGTGTTCTAAGACCAAAGCATAACAGTAGCTTCAGATGCAGAATACACTGCCATTCATGTTCTGGTTGCCTCCTTCATATCCGTTGGGTTTGTGTTCTAGAAAGCATGTCCTGCGAGCTGCAAAGATCTGCAGGGACACACACTCCTGGAGTGCTGACCTCCAGATTTCCCCGGGGCAGAGTGACAACACCCAGGGTTTGTCTGCTCTTCAGTTTCTTCAAAACTGTTTCGGTGTAGTTTCACTGACTTCTCAGGGGTAAATATTACACAGCGTGGTCATGGATCTTTGCCCTTCACTGTGGCGTGTGCTCAGGACACTGTTGTCTGTCTGTCTGTGGAGACTGGTGAGGTCGAAGCCTTGAGCTTAGCATGCAGTTTCAGCTTCCTCATTTGCTCTTTGTCCAATTTTTTTTTCCTCCCACTCTGTGGGAGGCTTCACACCTTCTGCTTTGCTCAAGAGGCCAGCCTGTTTATTATGGGCTGGACTCCCTCAAGAGAAGAACAATAAAGAGCCTTTGTTTCCCTTAAATCCCAAGCATTACTTCTCTTGATCCAGCCTGTGCTGCTGACTTCTGGCTTCAGCACTGGCTCCTGCTGGGGAGGTGGGGGAGGAGTGCTTTGTGTCTCAGCAGCCAAGGGTTCCCCGCCTCCTGCCTGCCCTGCTGCATCTTTTGCCCTCTGGTACAGTCATCCACTTCTTTCCTCCTGAATCTGCTTTCCTGATGCAGAAGCTGCTGATGCAGGAGTTGGGAGGGTGGGGGTTTCAAGCCAAATTTCTAGAAAGCTGCTATTCCACTCTCTGGTAAACAGGTCCCTTTCACTTCAGAATTCTTAAGTGCTAGATTCTGTCTCCACCCTTTTCTTGGTCTCCAAGTGACCCATTTTATAGACTTCTTTCCAGTTCTGTTACTCTTCAGTGCTCCCAGCAAAAGGTGAGAAATAGCTGTATTGGGAAGCAGAAAGTAATCCCCATCTGTATTTTTAAAACACACACACCTGAAAGGCCGTCTTTGCACTAGTCCTGTTTAGTGTTTTACACTTTCTCCGAAATCCAGGCTGGAAGCCTGCGGGCAAGAGTGTGCCAGGGCTCAAGCGTGAGAGTGAGCCCTTCTTAGCTGCCTGGCCAGCTGTCCCCACCCACTAGTGTCCACGCCCCTGGCTTCTGACAGGGCCCAGGCAGCAGAGCAGCCTACAGCCAGGTTTGGCTGTCTCCTCTAGGATTCTGGCAGGGAAGAGGAGAAAGTACCTGCTGTGGGATCGCCCCAGGTGAGCAGAGTCTTGTACTCAGGCCGCAGCACACATGTTGATCCAGCCACATCTCCATGACTTTTCTGGCAGAGTGACCCAGCCACATGTGGTGGGGTACAGGCGCATCATCCATGCTAATGCTTTCAGCCTAGAGAGGCTTAGAGAGAGTGAAGGGAATGCTCATGGGGCTCCTGCTGTGCTTTCCTGTTTTAAACTCCACTTAAGGACACCAAAGAAACAATGGCTACTGGGCCTGACAGAAAGGTTCCCCCTCACACTGACATCAGGAGTCTCCTTAATTAGGTTATTGATGGCTGCAGGTTCTTTTGTTTGGAAAAGGATTTTTCTTCAGAAGACAGTAGAGAGGGGAACCACAAAAGACGGTCTCACAGTGTGGGATTCTTTGTCTGTTGCAAGTGACCAGCCTTTGTGACAGCTTTGACGGGGAGCAGAAGTCCATTTGGGTAAACTGAGCACCACCTATATGTCCCTAGGGACAGCCTCTCTCTCTGTGAGTGTTCTCGCCTGTAGGATTGGCCTCTATAGAAAGCAAGCTTCTGAGTCACGGGCCTTAGGCACTCAGCAGAGGCTGTCCCCGGAGTCAGTGCCAGTGCCTCCACTCCACCAGGCAAGTGGCAGTGCTGAGTGCTGGCTCCGGCTCCTGGGAGGATCCCCAGGGCCACTGTGCAGGACAGCTGGGACTTGTAGAGTGGGCTTTGCTGGATGAAGCCAAGCTGGCAGGCTCCGTGGAGAGGTGTGTTAGCACAGCTTCAGCCGGAGACTTGGGGAGAGACAGGTTCCTTTCATGTGAATGTCGGCTATCCCCATACTGCCATGAAGGCTGGACTGCAGGACGAGAGTGGCTTGCTGTCATGGTCCCTTCTCAGGCCTCCACTATGTGTCACAGCTACTCTGCAACCCTCAGAAGTTAGGATACATCTCCACGTGTCATAAATGTGCGTCTCAGCTTGCAAGTCCATGAGGGCTGGCATTTCTGGTATTTCTCGGTTGCCTTTAAATGTGGCAGAATATGCATTGTGTGTTGCTGGCCTGCTTTTCAAAGATTTCTGTCTAATGATGATGTAATGATAGAACGCACCTTGTGGATTACCAGCATCTTCACAAAAGTCTTGTTTGTGAGGACCGGAGGTTTGGAAAGATGCACTGTAATGTCTGTGGTGTAGACTCTGAAAGAAGTGTTCATTGTTCAACACTGTGTATACTGTGTGCACATACGTAATACCTGTCTGTGTGTTCAGGGTGGGCACTGGGCAGCTCGTCTTCACCTGTGAAGAATCCTTCTGTGCCTTAAAACTACATTTAAAAATAATTCTTGTCAACCGACTCTTTTTAGAGCAGTTTTAGGTCATGGAAAAACTAAACAGAGATTTTTACCTACTCTTCTGTTGAATTATAATTGATGAGCCAACGCTGAAGATTCTGTGGGCTATGTTCAGTAAGCTACGTTTACGTTCACTCTGGTGGGCTGCCTGGGGATCGGATCAGTGTGCACTGAACATCCCACCATGTGCTTTCCCTGCCTAGAACTTTCTGTGGTGTCTTACTTATCCCTCCCCTCAGTCACTGGCAGTATCATTGACCTTTGCACTCTCTCTGTAGTTTACCTTTTCCATTGTGTTACACAGTTGCAATCACAGAGCACACAACCTTTCCGCTTGGGAATGTGCATTGAGATTCCCTGCTTGTCTTCTTGTAACTTGATATCTCATTACTTTTTTTTTATTTAACACCAAGTACATTTATTAGAAAAGAAGAAAGTTACGAAATATCCTGATATCTTTCCTTGAGAAATTAAAAATAAAAAAGAGTAAAACCAAAAATGAGGATCAGAAAACACAATCCCTTGTCAAAATGCCAACATCATTTTTCATAAAGATTAACATGTTGATTCTTACATTTCTGTAGAAATACAAAAGGCTGAGAATAGTCTAAACAGCTTTGATAAAGGAACAAAATTAGAGCTCCAACCCTCCCCAATCCCACAACTTACCACAAAGTTACACCAATCACGACAAAATGGCATTGGTATCAAGATAGACAAACTACCAAGGTACCAATGTGAAGTCCCAAAATAGATACACATATTATGGACAGTTGATTTTTGGCAAAGATGCAAAAGCAATTAAGTGGAGAAAAGATTGTACCCTCAATAAATATACTGGGACAACTGGATATCCACATGCAAAAAACCCAAACCTTATGACACATCAAAAATTTAAGAGATCCAAAAGTCTACTCAAAGTGGCTCAGAGTGGGTTAGTTAAAGTGAAGGTAAGTGTGATCTGAGTTGTTGTTTGGCTGAAGTCATTCTCTCTGGGACAAAATACACGTTTTTTTCCTTATCATTCTAATGAAAAAATACGATGTTTACACATGCATGACATATTTACTTCACTAATAAGTATGTCCTCAAGTGCATCCATTTACCTATAAAAATGTCCAGGTTATCATTCTTTATGGCTGAGAAGTATTCCATTATATAGAAATACCACATCTTTTTTATCCATTCCTCAGGTGATAGACACTTAAGTTGTTACCAAGATCTGGTGCTTATAAACTGTGCTGCTATAAACACGGGTGCATATATATCACTGTGGTATGATGTTTTAAATTCTTTTGGGAAGATACCCAGAAAGGGAATAGCTGAGTTGAATGAGACCTCCAATTGCTACTTCATTTCTTTTTTTTTTTTTTTTTTGGTCTTTTTTTTATCAGTACCAGGGATGGAACTCACAACTGCCTGCTTGCAAGGCAGGCGCTTATGCCGCTGAGCTAAATCCTCAGCCCTGCTACTTCATTTCATATCAGTGCTAACTGTAATGCATCATCCAGATGTTTGCTTTGTTTATTTGTTTGCCTAGTGAAATGCATCCTGGTTCCCTCTGGGCTTTGGCACTGGTAACAACCCACTGTGTGTAAACTCTGCAGGTTTCTGTGTGGATTCGAGTTTGCAGCACATTTGGGTAAACACCAAGTAACAAAAGGGTTGACTTATAAAATGCCGAATAAAAAGCATGTCATCAGGAAGACATGGCACACTTACGGACTTTGTGTTTCTTCTAGGGACGACTACCAGGAAGATGGATTCTGTCAGCCTTACCGAGGAATTGCCTGTGCGCGTTTCATTGGGAACCGGACCATTTACGTGGACTCTCTCCAGATGCAAGGGGAGATTGAGAACCGAATTACAGGTGTGGTCATGACCCTTTTCATGAGACCACAACACATGTGCAGGCTCCTGTCTGCAAAGACAGTTCCCACTTGTTCATCTGTCAGTGCCACAGACAGCAAAGTCCTCATCCATCTTGCTTGTAGTAAGAAATCAAAGAACTTTGTCAGATGCACTTGCTATTGCTAATGTGATTTGCCCTAAAATATTTCTAATTTCTGTGTTGCAATGACTGTAGTAACCTGTTCCTATAACAAAATACCTGAGGCTAGATATTTTCAAGAACAGAAGTTTACTAAAGCCACAGTTTTAGACTCTGAAAGCCCAAACAGCATGGCACTTGTTGTGGTGAGGCTCCCTGGCTCCAGCACATCATAGTGGACAGTGTCATGGTGGAACATGGATGAGAAAGAGAGGTCATTTGGCAGCACAGGAGGCTGGAAGAGCTCAAGAGGGTCCCAGCTTGTCTTCTGTAACAACCTTCTTTCAAGAGCTAACCACATCCCATGACAACGAGACCTAACAACCTACCACTAGGCCACATCACCTCTTAACATCGCCACACTTAGAGCTAGGCTCCAGCTCAGGAACGCCCCAACCACAACCCCATCCCAGCCATGAGGGTTGCCAAGTGGTGGCTTCGCAGAACACACTTCTGTGCTCTGACCTGGGCCAGCCTCACTTGTGGTCCCATTGCATCCCTTAATCTCCTGTCCTGGCATGGCCACTGTCGCTCTGCTTGACTTCTTTGTGCTGCATTTGCTGATTCTTGGGCTTTTCTCAGCCTCATTTGGTTCCAAGGGACTCAGACTTGATTTCAGTCATTGGCATCGAAGTGGTAAAGGCAGACTGTCTGGCCTCGGTTTCCGGAGAACGAAGCCAGAGCTTTGGCTGCCTGGCTCAGGGTCTGAGAAATGTGCCAGGCCATTTAGAAAATGGGGTGCTCATCCTTAGTCACTGTTGGCCTCTGCACGTTGGCTCAGCAAACCAGTTTGTTCACATTTGTGGGGTTTTCCTTGGTGGAAGCCAGTGGAAAGTGAAAAGATGAATCAGGTCAGAGTCCTCGCCCTCTTCCTCTTATCCATACCCTCTCCACAAACATGTGCATCTTTCTTCCGAGACCCCACAAGGAACCAGAAAAGCCTTGTGAAGATGGCAGGTGCCCCGGCACCTGTGGAGTTGGGTTTTCCTATGCTGGCTCTTGGCCCCGCCTCTACAAGTCATTGCAGTGATCTTTATCCCTGGGGAAGTGGGCAGGGCAGAGGGGCTGTGGAGCACTGCCCCACCCTGGTAAGGGTGGCATGAGGGTCCTCTGTGTCATTGGTATGACCCTCTGAGCTCAGCTCACCCTTGCACTGGGGCACCAAAGGGCCCACCCAGCCTGTGCTGACAGAGTGCTCTCTGGGAACAGGGTTTGGAGGGAAGTGGGGGGACAGTAGTGGGAAATGGGAACTCGAGGGGTCATGAGCAGAATTTCTCAAACTTTTAGACCCCAATATTGCAGTAAAAAGTTCAAAAAGCATACCTCATGTCATGACTTATTGTAGCTTGAGTATTGAGCACCCCTAGTCTGACAAATTTGCAATCCTAAATGCTCCAAAATCTGAAACTTTAAAAGTACTGACCTGATGCCATGAGTATACACAACTTTGTTTCAAGCACAAAATTTTTGAAAATGCTTTATAAAATTATTTCAGGCTCTATATGTGAGGTGTATAAGACATTAATGAACTTTGTGTTTAGACGTGGTCCCTTCTCCAACACACTTCATTATATATGGCAAATATCCCAGAATCTGAAAGCATCCCCAAAACAGAATGCTTCTGATCCCAGGCCGTTCAAATAAGGGGAGTCAGCCCATGGACACTGACTTGTGTTTCCAGAACCAAAATGGGTCATGGAGAATAATGTTCACCTAAAAGCCTCACACCTGTATGTTTTCTTCAGTTCTCTTTCATTGAAGAAAAGGTTACAGTTACAAACCATGTACTCACCCATGCTTGAATCTGTTCTCAACATCCTTTAAAATGCTAGCCACGGACTCCAAAATGAATTTGATGTCCTGCTAATTGACAAGCACTGATGCCAGCCCTGAGCATGGCTCTCTGTTATTTCTTCAACAGTGTTTAACGGGTTAAACAACTGATATATACAAGCAGCCCGATTTTATAACAGTTTTGAAAGAAGTGTTAGGGTGAGGAGTCTATGAATGTGAAACTTACTGCTCGTTATGTGGTGCTGGGCTGAAACCCAGGACCTTGATCATGCTAGGCAATCCAGCAGCCAAGTGACTCAGTCCACAGCACTTCACACGCATGCACGTGCATGCTTGCACTCACACACACACACACACACACACACACACTCGTAGTATATAGCTCTAGACTGACCTGAGTTCTGGGCTGCAGATCAGAGTGAAAGCTGCTTTGTGTGGCAATGTCCCATTAGAGAATGTCACACGACATTCAGGGTATGGTGAAGACGAGGACATGGGCTGTGGGATGTAGGTGGCCAGAACCCTCTTTTCAGAGTGAAGGAGGAGGGAGAGGAATCCTGTGAAGACCACCTGTGGCATCTTCTCAGTTGACTACCTTATGAGAAAGGCCGATGTGTACATCAGTGCTTACTAGCGAAACATTTAATGCAAGACACTGAAATATGTAAGAAGGCTCACAATGGCCATGCAGAGTCAGGGGTGGGGGAGTGCAAAAGCGCCGTATGCTGGAGACCAGAAGGACTCAGTCGAAGGCCTTCGGCTCAGGTCACATCCTGTTTTGGGGCCCTAACGCAGCTTCTGGGATATTTGCACATGTATAATGAAGTGTGTTGGGGAAGGGACTGAAGGGTCTGTGCTGGAAGCCAGGAGACAGTCTCCAAGCTGAAGGCAAAGACTGAGCCCCTCCGAAGAAACAGAAGCGAGTGTTGCTTCTTTATAACATTCTGGGGCAAGCCTCTCTCAAGTGGGTTGTCTCCTCCCAGAACTATGCTGACTCAATGTATATGAGCTTTTCTGACTCAAGTTGGCACAGTCAATCAGTTGTCACAGCCAAGTTTGTCTTTGTTAGCATTGCGCTTCCTAAAGTCAAGGCCAGCACCTCTGACAGCCCTCCCTGAATTGCCAGAGGTTCAGCTCTTAACTCTTCCACCCAGTCCCACATATCCTGTGCCTTAGCCTCCTACCCGCAGTGTCAGCACTCAGGGCAGAGAACCTGAGGACTTAAAGAGGGTGTGAGCAGAGCACCTTCAGGGTGGTGCCAGGGCAGGGCAGGACCACTTGGCTCTGGACCCCTGTTCCAGCCCATTCCACAGGCACTGTGGGAAATGTGATTCTGCAGCATGTGGTCTCAGCAGATCACTTTCCAGATAAAGGAAGAGGCCCAGAAGGGATTGAGTGACTGGCTCTCACCAGGACTTGTGCCTCAGCAGGTCTCCACAGGGCCACCTGCTGGCTGTACCTGGCTCAGCACATTCAGTTGTGGGGGCAGCTGGGGAGCCCCAGAGCCTTTCTTTAGCAGGTCATCCACAAGCAGAAGCAGGGCGGTGCTCTCAGCCCGTAGTGCCTTCTTTGGCCAGCACCTTTCCTCACTAGTATGTGCACCTGGCCGCAGCAGGGCCTCCAGCCCTAACGCGTTCCCAGCACACTCCATCCTCTGACACCTGGCCTCAAACACCTCCTGCCACTGCCTGTCGCTTGCTAGCCTCAGTCACAGAACTCATCCTGCCCTCTCTGCTTCATTGCACCACCCTCTCTCCACTTTTCAGAGCAGGTTCCCTCCCGTTGCTCACCTTCCTTGTGCCCGTGGGGCTCCTGGCAAGCCCTGCACTGTCCAGTGCACTGGAAGCCACCTAGCCCAGGCTCTGCAGTGCTGTGACCACAGAATGCCACTCCTCGTGGGTCCCTAGGTGATGGCTTCTGGATCTGAAGCTGGTTCCTTCTTGCAGGAAGCAGTGTCAGCTGAGGCAGAGAGGCTCTGGGCCTGGCTTTCCTTCCTTCCTGTTCTTAGAAAGTTTGTAAGGGAACCCCAGGGACCAGATGAGTCTGCTGCTGATCAGAGCAGATGATGGGTGCCCTGGGCCTGTCCTGGGAGCACGTGAGGGCTCTATATAGGGGGCAGGGTTACCTGATAGGATGTCCAGGGCCGAGTGGAGGGAGTTAGAAGTGTGGGGTAGTGTCCAGGGCTTAGGGCAGGGGAAGTCTCAAGGGCTGGGACTCTTGGGTTGGGGTATGGTGGTGTCAGGGTTGGGGGCCTTGGTGGGGACTATGGTTAGTGCTGAGCTGTGCATGGCCCAGGAGTGGGGGGCTGCAGCAGGGTTTCTGAATGGGGCAGCTTGGGTGTGTAGTATGGTTTGGAGGTTTACAGGAAGAAGCTGAGGCACCAGTCAGGTTTTCAGCATGGGGGTGCAGGCTAGATCAGGAACACAGAGGGTGCTAGGGGGTGGGGTTGGGGTACAGGCTGGCCCTCCATTCAGGGATACCCGGTTTCCTCCACAGCGGCCTTCACCATGATCGGCACCTCCACGCACCTGTCAGACCAGTGCTCCCAGTTCGCCATCCCGTCCTTCTGCCACTTCGTGTTTCCACTATGTGACTCCCGCTCCCGGGCACCCAAGCCACGGGAACTGTGTCGCGATGAGTGCGAGGTGCTGGAGAGCGACCTGTGCCGCCAGGAGTACACGATTGCACGCTCCAACCCGCTCATCCTCATGCGGCTGCAGCTGCCCAAGTGCGAGGCGCTGCCCATGCCTGAGAGCCCTGACGCTGCCAACTGCATGCGCATCGGCATCCCGGTGGAGAAGCTGGGCCGCTGTGAGTGCCACGGGTGGTGGGAGAGGGTGCGGCTCTCCCAGGGGCATCGTGGGGCGGAGGGGAGCCTTTCAGTCCCTTTGCATTCAGGGACCCTGAGCCTGGGGTTCTGCATGTCCAAAACAGCAGTAACCTGCATTACTGCTGTGAAGGCTGGGATGCAGGGAGCGGATGGGCGAGCACCCCAGCTTGCCTGATGGGCTACAAGCACCCGTGCTTTGCAGGACATGCAAACGCCCAGCCCACAGGTACTCCCAGACCTCAGGGAGCCCCATAGGTCCTTAGCCTGGTACTTTGAGTCTCAGATGCCATGCAGGTGGAGAGTCGGGACCTATAGCCACCCACACCAGCAAAGATGTAGGAGGTCCCCATCTCCAGACACTGGGGCCTCAGAGGCCAGGCGGGCCCTTCATTCTGAATTGAGGCCTGGGCCTGGCCGTTTCATGGTCTCCAAAGACAGATGTGCGCCCTACCCTGCTTTGGCAGCATGAAGTGAGGCCAGTCAGAGTGGAAGTCACTGCCAGCACTGCTGACGTCTTTGCTGCAAACTGCTCCCTCGGGTCACCCCCTCGAGGACTGAGACCCAGGCCGATGCCGCATTCTTCCTAGGCTTTGGCTGTATTTGACTTCAGCAGCTGGTCTGGAGCTTCCCGCTTGAGCAAGGCTCCTTACAGGGCAGCCTGGCGTAGCTTGTGGCTAGAGGGCTAACATCGCAACTCTGAGAAAGTCGCTTAAACTCCCATTTTCTCACATTCCATGGGGATAATAACAACACTGACCTTGTGGAGTGGAGATGAAGATTAAGCGAGTTAATAATTAAACAAGGCTTGGAAACGCTCATAGGGTAAACACCGTAGTTGTTTGACACATGTACATCCTCTGCCCTGAGCTCCCCAGTGCAGTGGGGTGGTAGCTGAGCCAGGCTCCGTCTGAGGGTGGAGGTAGCCTCCGACCTATGGGGCCAAACCTAGGACAGCCCTTCCTCCTTGTGACTTCAGTTTTGCTTCCAGAGCCAGTGAGTGCAGGGGCAGTGGTGCTGGCTCACACAGGGTCCGGGGTGCTGGGTACCATAGGTGTCCAGGGCCATAGGCGACTTCCACACAGGTTCCTGCCCCCCTGGGAAGTTGCCTTTGTAGGCTTGGGACTTGAAGTCATTACCTTTAATGCTACTTTTCTTGGACACTGTGCAGAACCCTTTGGTTCTTTGGAAGTGCAGACCTGGAAACATATAGGTCAAGTTCTTCTCTGCAGTAGTCCAGGGAGGTGAGCTCTTAACCCCGCGCGGGCCCCATCACTGGTGTTGGGGCCTCCTAATGTGCCTGCTTCTCCAGACCACCAGTGCTACAATGGCTCCGGCTCGGATTACAGAGGCACAGCCAGCACCACCAGGTCGGGGCATCAGTGCCAACCGTGGGCCCTGCAGCACCCCCATGGCCACCAGCTGTCCAGCGTGGATTTCCCTGAGCTCGGAGGGGGCCACGCGTACTGCCGGAACCCTGGAGGCCAGATGGAAGGTCCCTGGTGCTTTACTCAGAATAAAAACGTACGCATGGAACTGTGTGACGTACCCTCTTGTAGTATGTATTCTCTCTTTTTTTTTTTTTTTTTCATGTTGACTGTTGAGTTGGCCTTTGATAAGAGCATTCTGTCTGGGTCCAGAATGCTGGGAACTATAAGGTCCCCATCTTACCACTGTGATTGCTTGTTTTAAATAACACTGTTGTTGGTTATGGAATATATCAGACAATTCTAATTGTCCTAAAATCCAGAAAGGTCTAAAGAGTGTTGTGCAAGTTTACTGTCCAGTGGGAGCACCGGCTGCACGTTGGCCCTGCTTCTTCATAAGCCCTGGATGTCTAGTTTGGCGTCTTTGATCCTCCACAAACATCATTGCATGGTGCCTCCCAGTATTCGTAGATCTCTCCCCTCACTCCCCAGCTTCTGAGCTTTCCACCCCTCGTGCGCTTTTATCTGGTAGAGTGAGGAGAAAATAGAAGTCACATCTCGTAACACTCGCTGTGGGTGTCATAGACTAGAAAAGAGTGTAATTAGGGTTGAAAACCTGAGCAGTTATCTGAGTTCAGTCACATCTGTGTCACCAGCTCCTGTCAGTGAGTAATGGAGACTCAGCTCAGACTGAGGGGCCAGTGAAAGAAGACATCAATAGTAGAGTGAATCCAGGCCCCCATGACCCTGGACACCTCCCCCTGGCACAGTGGGACCCGCATTGCCCTGCAGCCGGCACACATGAATGTTTATTCATCAACCTCTTGGAGTATAATTTGGCAGCTTCAAACTTCAAACTTGACATTGCTTTTACACACACACACACACACACACACACACTGCTTTAAAAACTTTGGGAGTTAAATTGTCATCTGTGTCTATTAGAACACAGCAGCCCTCTAAAAGTATTTCCTAGCTGGGCTTGGTGGTGCATGCCTATAATCCCAGCACTCAGGAGGCTGAGACAGGAAGATCACTAAGAGTTCAAGGCCAGCCCGAACTACATAGTGAGTAAATAAGTCTGTCCATGAATAAATAAATAAAATTATTTCCTACCAGGAAGAGGTTCATGGTGCCCTGCTAGGGAAAAAAAAGCAGGTTTAGGGCAAGAGCTATGTTGGTATCATTTTTTTATTGTTTCATTTTGCTTTGATAAAAGAAAACAAAATGAATGAAAGTGTGTGTGATGCTGCATACATGTCCTTGTTTTTCATGGTAAAGTTTTGGAAAGATGCACGCCAAACTTTTAACAGTGACTTCCCCAGATCTACAGAAGAGTTAAAATATAATTTAATGAGCAGCTTGTAGTATTGCAATTAAAAATGAATCAAAGCAGAAAAATATGTATGTTTTTGTCCTTGTAATTCCTAGAATTTTATGTTGCAGGAATAATTGCACAATCAAGGCAGAAAAACAAGGATATTTCTTGCAGAATCTCTTGTGAGAGCCAGATACAAAACAAACTGCTTTTTAACAGGAGGTTGACGGGGATAGAATGTCCATCCCAGGGAATAGTATGCCCTATAAAGACATCCACAGATCTGTTTTGACTGTGAAATGTCCAAAATATTTTATTCTGCCCCCAAACTAGGAACTGGAAATATATAGCATAGTTCTTTTTCAATTGAAGTCTTATTTAAATTTGTGTTGTAACACATTCTATGAAACTATTGTTTCTTTTTTTTTTTTTTTGTCTTTTTCCTTTTTATCGGTACTAGAGATCGAATTCACAACTGCCCACTTGCAAGGCAGGCACTTATGCTGCTGAGCTAAATCCCCAGCCCTGAAACTATTGTTTCTGTATTTCAAGATATTTAAAAATCAGTTATTTTGTGTGGTTCAGCCTAAAGCTCATACAAAAATTGAGCAAGGATCTATTCACAGTGTGACAGCCTTAGATGAAAAGGGTCATTAGGAATGTTCACTGATGAAACCCCACATTTTTACAATACTAAATCTTTTCCAAATAAGCATGTGTTGATAATTTTTAAAAATGACAATACAGCAAAGGCCTCCATAATTGTGTAAACTGCTCAAGTTCCGGCCTTGGCATGAGGAACATGGGTGTTCTCTGCAACCCTAAAACCAAGGAACAACCCAGAGTATGTCTGTGTCTCCCTAAGGCTTCTGGAACCTCTGCTTCCTGGACCCTCCCCAGGGCTGCTGAGCAGGGATAGGAGAGAGTTTTGTCTGAGGCTGTATTTCTTCTTGTCTAGAAGGCAGGGCTGGCACTAGAGTGCTCATTCTTAGACAGAAACCACTCTTGGAGATCACACTGGCCAGAAATGACTTGTTTGCTTCCCAGTGGGAGGGCCATCACAGAGTCATATAAGTCTGGTGTAATTATTTCCAGGTCTAAGGGGAAACAGAAGACCCTAAGGAGCCCAGCTTCTGCCATGTACAGGAGTGGGCTGGCCTTGGGTCACACCGTCTGCTCTTCACACACAGAGCCTGAGAGGTTCAGGGTCAGCAGAGGGGGGCACCTGGAGAAAGGCACTGAGTGGCCCTGAGCAGCTGGCCCTACAAACTGCACTGCCCACCGGCCAGGACACAACCTCTGCTCCCGTGGGTCAGCCTGGTACCTGGTGTGCTCTCTGGCACCTCCCTGTAAATCCTGTAGAGGGAGATAAAGCATCCTTTTGCATTGCAGAAAACAAATGAGTGAAAGAAGCCTTGGATTCAGTATCTCAGTATGCATGGATTTTCTAGAGCTTTGTCCCTGCAATGTGTTACATGGGGGCAAACACCTGACCTCCCTGTGCTCTTTTAAGTCAAATTCATATTTAGTTATTAGCCTAAAAATGTTATCATTATATAAAAATGTGGAAAAAAATCAAAATGTTGAAAGAGGAAAAGATAATTTCCAGTCCCAGTACCAAAGACTAGAGTGTCCCAGCAGCGCAGTCAGTGAGGGGACTCTCAGGACTGGAGCTGAGCGCCTCACCCCAGGGTGCCCCGGCATCCAGAGAGAACAGTGCATGTGGACTTTGTCAGTGTTGAGACCACAGGGTCCCCTGCCTGCATGCTGCACACTGCCAGTCTTTCCACAGCCATAGACACAGGTGTGTTTCGGTACATTCCCTTTTTCTTAAGGCAGGTGTCCCATTTTGCCGGTCTATGTTTGACTGTCCACTCACACCGAAGCATTTTGGCTGGAGGGGAAGGTGGGGGGGTGGTGGGAGAATTTAGAGTTGACAAGAGGTTGTTTCCTAGAAGTCACGAGAGCTTTGCTGTCATTCACAGGTCCCCGAGACAGCAGCAAACTGGGCATTCTGTACATTCTGGTCCCAAGCATCACGATTCCCTTGGTCATCGCTTGCCTGTTCTTCCTGGTCTGCGTATGCCGGAATAAGCAGAAGGCCTCCGTAGCTAGCCCACAGCGGCGGCAGCTGATGGTCTCACCCAGTCAGGACATGGAGCTGCCACTCATCAGCCAGCACAAACAGGTCTCCTGTGCATGCCCCACCCAAGCAGCTGCCCCAGGCAGAAGCCTGGGGACTGGTTATGTGCGGGGTCGTTTTCCGAGTTTTCTTGACCGTAGCACGTCATTCTTTAAACCAGCCTTCATTCTGGTGTTGCTTCTCCAAAATGTGCCCGATGTGTGTCCTTGGAAACTGAGCAGCAGGCATGTTGGGAATGCGTTCTGGGCTCCCCACCACCTGGGAAGCCAAAATCCTGTGTAGCCTGGCAGGGTGTTCCAGGCTCATCAGGGGCCACAGCTCTGCCCACAGGTGGCACAGGAAAACAGGACGGCCTGTGGCATTCATAAGGCCTAGGACTTGGGCCTCTGATCAGCTTCTGGTCAGGTTGGTTTTGTTGCTTTGTTCCCCAGAGAAGGAGAGAATACAGTTTCTGGATGGAAGTAGGAAGGCCTTGAAAGGCAGCTGTCCCCACTCGAGGAGTTCATGGTGGTGAGGAGACAGGCAGGGGACTTTGCAGCGCTGGGTTAGAAGGTGCACTGCAGCCTCTCCAGGAGCTCATACTCGCGCAAGCTTCAGGGGTCATCTTCCTGTCTGGCTTGGAAGGGGCCTTCCAGGGGGTCAGAGCCAGCTCCTCCGGTCGGCTCTGCTGTCATGCAGTCAGTGAGTGTTTGCTGTAGACCAGAGTTGGCTCTCAAGAAGGACCCAGCTCCACCTTCACACCCTTGGCTGATGCACAGAAGGAGCATGCCCAGGGTCCGGGGTGCTCACAGCACTGGTGTGGTTCTTTAACCATCCTGGGCTGAGACTCATCCGGAGGAAACCACAGCATGGGTCCATTGTGGGAGGCTCTGGAGAACAGCTGGGCTGGGCTCCAAAAGTGACAGAAATGTGAAAAGACAAGCAGCCCATAAGCACAGTGTGTCTCTCTGTGGTGTGGGTGGACAATGAGGTGAGTCCAGAGTGACCCTGTGAGAGCAGGCGCTCTGGCATGGCTGCAGACAATGTGTCTGCAAATGTGAGTGGCTACGCACAACCAGGGAAGGGAGACTGCAGTGCTGATGAGCCACGTTTTAGAGCTGCCCCATCAGCAGCCTGGGCAGGGCCACAGGAGGTGTAAGATGGGAGGGTGTGGTGGGTGAAGCAGGGGAGCCTGGGGTGGCAGGACAGGGGCCTCTCCAGGGGACTGTGTTTCCCCTGGGGACCTTTCCCGCTGCCTGCACCTCTTTCCCAGGATGCAGTGGCAGAAGGCCTTGACCTGGAGCTTTTGTCCTTGCAGGCCAAACTCAAGGAGATCAACTTGTCCACCGTGCGCTTCATGGAGGAGCTGGGGGAGGACCGGTTTGGAAAGGTTTACAAAGGCCATCTGTTTGGGCCTGCCCCGGGCGAGCAGACCCAGGCAGTGGCCATCAAGACACTGAAGGACAAAGCGGAAGGGCCCCTCCGAGAAGAGTTCCGGCACGAGGCCATGCTGCGGGCTCGGTTGCAGCACCCCAACATCATCTGTCTGCTGGGTATCGTGACCAAGGACCAGCCCCTCAGCATGATCTTCAGCTACTGCCCACACGGTGACCTCCATGAGTTCCTGGTCATGCGCTCGCCACACTCGGATGTGGGCAGCACTGACGACGACCGCACTGTGAAGTCGGCCTTGGAGCCCCCTGACTTCGTACACGTCGCAGCACAGATTGCTGCAGGGATGGAGTACCTGGCCAGCCACCACGTGGTCCACAAGGACCTGGCTACCCGCAACGTGCTGGTGTATGACAAGCTGACTGTGAAGATCTCGGACCTGGGCCTCTTCCGAGAGGTGTATTCTGCTGACTACTACAAGCTGATGGGGAACTCACTGCTGCCCATCCGCTGGATGTCCCCCGAAGCCATCGCCTACGGCAAGTTTTCCATCGACTCCGACATCTGGTCCTACGGCGTGGTGCTGTGGGAGGTCTTCAGCTATGGCCTGCAGCCCTACTGTGGGTACTCCAACCAGGATGTGGTGGAGATGATCCGCACCCGACAGGTGCTGCCCTGCCCCGACGACTGCCCCGCCTGGGTCTACGCCCTCATGCTCGAGTGCTGGAGCGAGCTTCCCAGCCGTCGGCCCCGTTTCAAGGACATCCATAGCCGGCTCCGGGCCTGGGGCAACCTGTCCAGCTACAACAGCTCGGCGCAGACCTCGGGAGCCAGCAACACCACACAGACCAGCTCTCTGAGCACCAGCCCGGTGAGCAACGTGAGCAACACCCGCTACGTGGGGCCCAAGCAGAAGGCCCAGCCCTTCCCGCAGCCCCAGTTCATCCCCATGAAGGGCCAGATCAGACCCCTGGTGCCCCCACCCCAGCTCTACATTCCTGTCAATGGCTACCAGCCAGTGCCAGCCTATGGGGCATACCTGCCCAACTTCTACCCGGTCCAGATTCCCATGCAGATGGCTCCCCAGCAGGTTCCCCCTCAGATAGTCCCCAAGCCCAGCTCACACCACAGTGGCAGTGGCTCCACCAGCACAGGCTACGTCACCACAGCTCCCTCCAACACATCTGTAGCAGACAGGGCAGCCCTGCTGTCCGAAGGCACTGAGGACACACAGAACATCCCAGAAGACGTGGCCCAGAGCCCTGTACAGGAAGTGGAGGAGGAGGAGGGAGGCTCTGTCCCCGAGACTGAGCTCCTGGGAGACAGTGACACTCTGCAGGTGGATGACACCCAAGTCCAGCTGGAAGCCTGAGGTACACACAATGCCCAGGCCTTCTGCCAGAAGTACCCACTGGGACCTGCAAGGACTTCAGCCACCTTTCAACAGTCACAGATTCTGTCACAAGAGACCCGAGATTGTGGAGTCCCCCTCCTGTCTTACCTGCTGTCTGTGCTCAGCGCTGCCACTGAGGTCCCTCTCAGGCTGGAGGTCATTTTGGCCAGCAGCATCTGAGCGGGGCGGAGCCCAGCAGCATGAGCTCCTCAGTGACCCTGAGGCTGCCTGTGTTTATCCCAGGGGTAGATGGGTAATGAACTGCAATTACTTTGCAAAAATAGGTGGCATCTCTGCTCCGGAATTGTACATGGATTGAATAGAAATGTGAGGGAACAGGCCTGCAAAAGGAGCCAGGGAGGCACCTTTTAAGATCCCAGGTGTGAAGGTAAGGGGAGCTCTTGTTCTCTCTGCTGCCTCTATCTATGCAATCTCATTCTCCCTTCAGCAACCAAAGGTGGTGGAGCAGGATGCTGCACCCGCTGGTCCCCAGGAGAAAGGGGCTTCTGATACAGGGCTCCCTGTGTTAAAGCAAAAACGTGCCTTTCCAGAAACCGCTGCAGCCTTGTATTCTTGGGAAATGGTTTTAACTACATGACATGTGTACTTGGCCTACTTTTGTGGAATTCAAGGGAAAATGTTGCATTTAGAGTGTCCAAAAGAAAGCAAGATTGTACAGAACGCAGTACTGTTATTTTTTTTTAAAACCATGTACAGACGTTAAATGTAATTTATATGTTTTGTATGTCATTTTCATGGAAGTATTTTGACCTAAATAATGACTCAGTAATTTAACTGTTTACATGACCCACTTGGGGACACCAAGAGGTGGTAGTTTCGGTCTGATTTTGTGCCACATGTAATTGCGGTCCATGCATTTCAGAGCCCGCCACACGACCCGCAGGCAAGCTGTCTGTACTTCGCACACACTGCCAGCCTTGTTTGTAAACTCCTCACCTGGCATATTGAATAAAGTAAAGCAGAGCGTGTGGTTGGCTGTCCTGTGGGCTGAGAGGGTGGCAGGGTGGGAGGCACCTGTTGGAGGAGTGTGATGCTGAGGGCAGATTGCTTAGATCCTGCCCTGTCCCAGATGTGGGAAGTTCATTCTCCACGCTAACGTGGATGCAGTAACAGTTTGGAGGGAGGATGGAATTCAGTCCCACTGCTTTCTGGCATTTCTAAATTTATGTGTGCTTAACATGTTCATCATGCGGTTGATGGGGTTCTGTGTGACGCTTTGCACACGCGTGCAGGTGCGCGGCCTCCCTGGTCCATTTCCTTCAGCTTCCATCCACTAGTGATCACTTTTCTACACTCACGTCGACTTTTTTCGCTGCTTTTCTGTGCTGAGTTCTTGTCTTATCACTTTTCTCACCACCAAGATACAGTACTCAACACCCCAAATTGATTTATTTTGGCACACAGTTTCAGTGCTTTCAGGCCATGGTGGGCTCAGCGGAAGGGCTGGTGTGCTCAGGGGAAATCTGTTCCCGTGCAGTGAGAAGAAGCAGAGAGAAGGGAGGAGCAGGGAGAGAGAAATCCAGTCATGCACCGTGACCCACCTCGGACTAGACCCTCCCTGCCTGGCCTCGCCACCGCCCCTGACAGCAGGAGGCTCTTGCTGGGAAGGTGTTCTTTTTTTATTATTATTTTAAGGAGAAAAAAAAAAAAAAAACAGAAAAGAAAAACAACTACAACAACCAAAAAACCAAAGAAATAGCAATATAGGCTTTCATACAATGTGATAGTAATTTAACAATGGTTGTTATATTCCATATTATCTTCAAAAGAATTACTTAGGTTAGCAGGTATGGACATGCAAAATTGATCAAACTGTGTGAGTACTAGCTGTTCTTTTCTGGGAACTAGTAGGGTTAGTAGTATAATCATTTTAGCAATCTTATGTGTGTGTGTTTACAAACATATCTTTTTCCTTTTCCCTTCTTTTCTCTTTTCCCCTATCCCAGTTGTTTTTTCCCTTTGAGCGTGTCTTACCCTTTCACAATATCTATTGTAGATTTTGGATCTTATTTACTTGTTCAGACTCTTAAACTAGGGAGATGTTACACTATTTACACATGTGAGTGTGATTTATTTCACTTATGAGTATGGTCTCAAGTTACATCCATTCACCTATAAAAGTCTCAAGTTTATCCTTCTTTATAGCTAAGTAGTACTTCATTATATAAAATCCCACATCATTTTTATCCCTTCCTTAGTTGATGAGTATTTGGAGTGTCTCTAAGATTTGGGGGGTCATTTTTGATGTCAAACTACAGCATCCCTCAAATGCAAGTCAAATCCAGAAGGCATTAAAACGCTCTTTGATTTTACATGCCCCCTCCTGAGGGCCCAGAGTTCCTGGCAGGTTTGACTGTCTCTGGGCTGCCTTCTCCCCAGTCTCACAGCATTTGCACTACAACAGCTAACTCCAAGGATACCCAGGGGCCAGGGCTCCTGGACAGGCCCTGACCTGGACAAGGCCTGATAATAAGTGCTTCTGGCAGGCAGCAAACATCTGACCTGGCGTGCAGGTGTTCCCTGACCTGGAGCAGCCCGGTGAGGCCTGTGTGACCCTGCTACACACAGCAGAAGCTCCTTACTCACATCTAATGTTCTAGCAGAGCTTGTGGCAGACCCAGCCCTGCCCCCCCCCCCACCTTGCACCCAGCCTGGGAGGGTGGGACTGGATGGCTCTGGAATGTGCCTTCGAATGAGGGCCCAAGGGCCAAGCAGTCTTGGTGTGACAGCCACGAGACAAAATCCTTTACCCTGTCCTGATACAGTTCATAGGAGAGGACCCTTTCCAAGAGGCTGGGTTCCATGTGATACTCCTCTACCGCATGAACTCTGAAGTGCTATGACTCGCTCATGTAGTCCTAAGGCTTCTGGAGTCCAGACACTGTATCACATGTTTGGGGTAAGAGCTCACTGGAGAAGCCCACCCTGAACCGCTATCATGACACTGCCCCTCCCCAGGGCCTCCCTTGTGCTGAACTCCATGACCCTCTTGTTGTGAAAGAGGAAAACCAGTATCTTCTTACCTGGTGGAAGGTATGTGGCTAAAGTCCCTGGGACAAAGCAGACTTCCAAGAGGAAAAAGCACCACTGCATTGTGGATGGTGCAGGGAACTTTACAAAGGCAAACCTGAAGAAGCAAGGAAGCCCAGTGCTATGATAGGTTGAATGGACAGTGGGCACGGGCAAGACGAGAGTGGTACAGCCCAGTGGTGACCTGGGCACTGGCCAGGTCTGTGTCATCAGTCTGTGCTCAGGGATTAGGGTGTTTCCTTCCCCCTGAAGCATCAGGATGCAAGGTCTGAGGACCTACCTCAGTTGAAGGCCAGGAAGCCAGTCAGCAGCAGGGGAGGTAGGCAGAGTGTCCCTGCCACCCTGAGGTTCCCTCAGATTCCAAGATGCCAGGCAAGAGGAGCATCTCATGCCTCTCTCGCATGGGAGTGCAGTGTAGCCCACTCGCAGCAGACATATTGGCCCTGTGCACCCCAGGTACAGTGGGACCACTTATGGACACCTCTGCCCTATGCAGTGCACCCCCTAAAATCAGGATGGACCACACTCCCTGCAGAAAAAGCACTGTGATTCAGTTGACATTAGGATCCCTGACCTGTCTCCGGTGTTATGGTGTGGGAGGGAGGTGAAACACAGCTTCTCATCTGGCCTGATTCGGAGAGGAGTGTGGAGTGTCGTCAATCTAATCTGGTCCACCTGCTGGTGAGCTGTTCTGCAGGGGTGGAGAGTAGGAAATGGGAGCTAGCCCATCTGCTCTCCCCGCAGAGGCAGAGATGCCACCCTCAGCCTCTTCCCTGGGCCTTGACTCAGCCCCGGGGTAGTGGGATCTTCAGGCCATCAACCACACCCAGAGCCAGTGTGGTAAGCCTGCTGCAAAGCTCAGAAGGCAGGGCATTGCCCCTCCTTCCCTGTCCCTACCCCACTCCCTTTCTTCTTTTGTAGAGGGAAGGAGACTTTGGGGAATTTCTTTTTCAGTTTTTTTTCTACAGTATTTATTAGCATTTATTCTACTCGCACAATTATGATGCATCTTCAGGAAGATGGCTGGGTTTTTAAAGGCCTTGTGATTGAAGGCCTGTGGCTCATAAGAGACCCCACAGCACTGCTTGTTTTTAGGCATGTTAGAGGACATTTTATGGCTGCTTAGGAAGCCATGCCATCGCTGAGCCACGTGGGCCTCTTGCCTAGGATTGTCAGGAGAACCGGGGGAGTTTTCTATGCAGATTTCAGTGAATTGCTAAATACTTGGTGTTCACGAGCTTCCCACTAACTGGAAGAATCCCTGGCTTCTCTTGAAATGGAAACACTTTAACACTGGGCATGGTGGCATACACCTGTAACCCTAGCAGTTGGAAGGCTGAGGCAGGAGGATCACTGCAAGTTTGAGGCCAGCATGGGCTTCAAAGTGAGCTCAAGACCGGCCTGAACTGTAAAGTGAGACTCTGTCTCAAAAACAAAACAAAACAAAATGGAAATACTTTAAACTGACTCACTTTATTTTATTGCTTTTTAACTGATTAAATTGTATACATTAAAGGAGTATCAAGTTCTATAGTTCAGTGATAAGGCAGGAATTCTACCCCTTATTCCCTCAGATACCTTATTCCCTTAATTCAAGTAACTACTGCTACTTGTTTGTTGAAGATATTCCCAAGTTTATTGTTTTTACTTTTTCACATCAATGGTAACCTTTGTACACACTGCCTTCTGCCTTGCTTTTTCCCCCTGGGCAGCACAACTTATTCATGGGCAGAAGCTCTGGGTCTACCCATGGCCCATGATGTATTGGCTTTCCTGTTACTGGGACAATATGCCCAGTACCCACAATTAAAGGAAAAGAAGTTTATTTTGGCTTACAGTTTCAGTAGTCCAGTCCATGGTTGCTGGCTCCCATGCCGTCGCACCATAGTAGAAGGGGCCTGGGTGGAGGGGGGGCTGCTAACTACAGGGTGGCCAGAGAACAAAGAGAGGGGAGGAGAAGACAAGGACTAAACTCAGCTCTTCCTGTCACACCCCAGGGCCTTCCTCTAACCAGGCCCTGCCTCCCAATACCCAGTTGTGTAGCAGAGCTATCCACTGATGAGTGTAGAGCTCTGATGGTCCGCTCACTTCCCAAAGACATTCTAGATCTGCATCATAACACTAGGCTTGGCCTATCACTCATGGCCAGGATTGCACTGCTTCTAGCTGTTGCTGACATAAACAGCATCACCAGAAAGGCAGATATGCCACCAGAACACCTGCAAGTGTGTCTGTAGCGGATATTCCTGGAAGAGGCCTTTCTGATAAGTGCTGGCACTCACCTTCGAGGTATGAGCCAGTGCGTGTGGCCACAGCTGTGTGCTGATGCCCCTGGATTAAGATTAAGGTTTAATTGGGGCCTATGTATTCTGACCTGAGGCACCTAACCACAGACAGTTCTGAGACACAAGCTCAGCATTAATGCATACTTTTATGCAGACAGGTTGGTAGAATTTTTAACCCATTATTCTACTTACTGTCTGAGATTTTAGTTAACAGCGGTACCATACACAATGGCAGAGAGCTGGATTCAAAACAGTCCCCTGAGCATCAGAAGGCCATGGAGCATCTGCAAGAACATGGAGTCGGCCTGACAAAAAAGGGCCATTTGTTTGAAATGCCAGCAGGCAACTGCCTCCTCTCTCCCTGGGTGGCCCAAGCTTGTGCATTCACTGTTGTGGTCTGCTCAGGGCTACCTCTACCTGAAGTGGAGGTCCCTCCAGGAAGCACTAGGCATCCAGAAGGGAGAGGGTGGTCACCCAGTGGAGAGAATTCAGGGAGGTAAGGCAGGTACCTCTCCTAGGGCTCCTGCTGCCCATGAATTCCAGCCTCTTCCCCCGGGCCCAGTGGTCTCATTTTCTCCACAGTCTGGGACTGCAGATGCACTAAGTCTATCTGTGCAGGTGCTTCTCTGTGTTTCACTGTTCTATGTGACTTT